TCTGCTCAAGGAGACGGTAAAATACACACTCTTCTGGCCTCAAGCAGCAGAAAACCGTCGCTTGATGTTCATGTGTCCACCATGGGCTAAAATCCCTTCCATCAATTTTTTACTGAGAGTAGCTCTAGATTGAGCAAATTTTTAAACTAATCAAAACTTATTAGAACGCTTTTGCGAAAAAAATTAACAACAATTATAATTAAAACTTAATTCACTAACGCGTTTCAGATATAAATATATAATGTAAGGCTATTTCTTACAGCAGAAGGAACGGGCAGAAAAGGGAGACGAAACTCGACGACATGCCGACTCTGGAATGGAATTTCCATTGGTTTTGCCGATGTCACAACCCTCACAGTATTTAAAGTATGGAGCCAATATCGCAGCAAAGGTACTCATTGAACAAGAACAATGGCCAAGTCAATATGTAACTCAAGCGCACGAATCCTAGTAACTTGGCGCTTTATGCGGAGCTTCTATTTTACTGTTTGTTGAATAGTTATAAATGCACGTAGTATCGCTCTAATCAACGAAACCGACACAACACGATATAATTCTGCAAACTAGACCCAACCCCTCAACTCAATTACGATAGGCGAGACCTACTTCTTCAACACAAGTAATTGTACTCCTTCTGTGCTGATGACGACCACTACGCCATGATGCGAGCAACTGTTTCTACTCTCTCTTCACGCCTTCACTGCCAAAAAAAAAGACACTAGTCCCAAAGAATTTCAAGAAAATTCTTCATCCATCTTTCACAAGAATAGAACTTAAAAATTATAAAACTTTCTGAACCCCGGATGGGTGGAAACAGTCCAAAAAAGTATTTATCACGTCCCAGTGTATTCATGATAACTATCTCTGTAAAATACTTAGAACTAACCAATCATGATCCAATACCAAAACTTACAATAATTTTTAAGGCTGAAACTTTTTATAGTTTCAGCCAGAAGAGAAATAATGAACTTAGCAATCAGTTGCTCTTCCCCAGAACAGTTCTTGACTTTAAATATCGCAAGTTCCACTATAAACTTGATATAATGAGACTAGGAGAAATAAGAGTAAGATTAAAATCGGTATTAGACCAAGAAATTGCACGAATCTATCCGGCAAAAATAAGTTAGCGTGACAAACACACGGTGTATTTTATCTGAAATTACCCTATGAGTGATCCACCCCTGACTTAAACTAGTCTGTTTTGAAGCTTCAAAGATCATAAATTCTGTTTAGGTGCAAGCGGCGAAATCTGGATGGGGGGAAGTGGTGGAGCTGTTGTTGAGCAGAGGGGCTGACCCAGAGGCCACCAACAACGCCCCTGTCCCCAATGGCTCATTCAGTCAAACAAATGGCGAAACATTCACTGTAAGACACCAAAACTTATCTTTGTCCTTTCTACAACATAAAACAATAAATTTTTCTGACTGTCGAATTTCAATTTTTTAAATGAGTTATAACTTAACTTCGCTTCATGTTCGATCGAAATTTCTGGGCAATTAACATTTGCATCAGTTGAAATTGAAACTGAAGATTTCGATTTCAAAACCTGCTAAAAGATCAGTGGCTACCCGGGTCGAGATCCCGCTCAAAAACCGCTCAAGGTATGAGCGGTTGGAGCGGTTTTCCAGCAAGATTTGAGCGGTTTGGGCGGTTTTTTTTGGAAAAACCGCTCAAACCGCTCAAATCTTGCTTAAAAAACCGCTCAAAAACCGCTCACTTCTTGCGGTGATTTTTGAACGGTTTTTCAAGCAAGATTTGAGCGATTTTTCAGCGGTTTTTTTAGCGGTCTTCCCGGGTCAAGGTCTCAGATTCATGTCCAGACTTTCGCGACAAAACTTTGGCATGTCCAGACTTTCCAGACCAAAATTAGGCATTTCCAGGCTTTGGCGACCAAAACATGGCATTTCCAGACTTTTGCGACCATGATGATCCGTCGCGACCATCGCGACCGAAGCGGAGGTGGTGCGACCAAAACATCGCGACTCATATTTGGTATGTCCAGACACTCGCGACCAAGAGTTGCCATTTCCAGACTTTCGCGACCGAAAAACTAAGCCGCGACTTTCGCGACCTAGGCGGACATGGCGCGGCCCTGCGGGTCAGGAAATGGCGTGACCGGCGCGACCAAACCTAGCTATTTCCAGACATTCTAGAACAAGATGGAAAGATGGAGACGGCGCGACTTTCCAGACCAACATGGAGACGGCGCGACTTTAAATTTTTTTTTTCAGGGATTTCTCGACCGAGGTGGAGACGGCGCGACTTTCGCGACCATGGTGGATACGGTGCGACTCAGGAAACGGCGCGACTCCAAAGGCAACGGCGCGACCGGCTTGGTCAGCGCGACCAAAATGTTGGAACGTTAAAAAAACTGCTCGACGGTTTTGTTAGAGAATCTTCTACGCCCGCTGTCATCTCGAGAAGGGATCCCAATTTGAGGTTAATCGCCTCTTCTGAAAAAAGATTTGAGCGGTTTTTTTTAGACGATTGCGCTCAAAATCCTGCTTCAAAATGAGCGGTTTGAGCAGTTTTTGAGCGATTTAAAAAAAAACGCTCAAAAAACCGCTCAAGATTTGAGCAGTTTGAGCGGTTTTTTTAGACAATTACGCTCAAAATCTTGCTTCAAAATGAGCGGTTTGAGCGGTTTTTGAACGGTTTATCTAAAAAAACCGCTCAAACCGCTCATTTTGAAGCAAGATTTTGAGCGTAATTGTCTAAAAAACCGCTCAAACCGCTCAAATCTTGCTTCAAATTAGGTGACAAATCTCGACTCGGGTAGCATTTTGTGCTGTTCGTTTTGATGTATGGGAATATACAACTAAAAACGTAATCAAAACGATTCAATAATGGTGTATGTTTTCCCTATATTAATGATCATTGATTTTATTGCATCTTATGCTGCAATATTTTTAACAAGCATTTTTGATCCATTTTTTTGAAAATTCTTGTGTAATATTGTTATGTAGAGTATGTATATATTGTGAGGGGCTACATATCAGATGTAATAAAATAATATATTATTAAATTGTTTGCAAATCAGATTCCATTCAATTTAAAAGTTACTACATTTACAACCAAACGAAATCTCATTGCGAGAACGCCGTGGAACTATGCTGCCCTTTTTCAGGCGCCTCTGATCCTGCTATGACTTCTGTTGTTTTTTAATATTGATAGTTTATCAACTAAAAAAAATTTAATGATTTGAATTTTTGTCAAACAGTGATAAAGATGTCAATCGTTTTATTTGCTATCATGTTAATTTTTACACATGAGAGTTTGTTCTATCACCATGAAGGGTTAAGAGTTACCTGCCTGTCAATCAGTCTCTAAATCTGTCTTGTTTACTCTGACTTCTTTATCACTGTCTGGAATTAACGTTGAGTATTACAGTTGAAATAACTATCATAAGCCGTACCATTTCACTATCCCTTGTTATGGCGCAGTCGGCAGATGGAGTAGAAAAATCCTCTGTAGCATTCTGACCTCCGAATCAAACGGAGGCACAACTGTTGTGGGAACACTAGAAACAACACATTTACTGGCCACGGGTGGCCAGGCATTGACTGGCCTCATCGGATTACTACTTGGAAGCATCATTAACGGCAGCACAAATCGGTGCACTGTGGGATGTCTGAGGAAATTCAAGAAAAGAAGGAGAAAGGACCTCGATATCCATTCAACAATTTGATACCCGCAATTTCTCGACATTTGCTCAACAGTCTTTATGAAGGAGCATAACGAAATATATGAGATGTACGGAATGGTGTCACGAAAGCAGAATAAAGGTGGAGTTTGAAATTCTTCTATGCAGAATTGATCGGAATGGCGGCAAATTGTAACTTGGGAACTTGGGAGAGAAATTTGGTTCGAGATGTATTCATCTTCATATGCAGAACAGCGACGCCCAGAGTGAGTTATCCAGGAGACACAAACTCCGGAGGAAGCAATAAAGATAGCGGTGTCCTACAAACGCGACAATAGTTATGCTAAAACGTACAAATAGAGTGTGTCAGGATCCAGGGGAAGTTGATATACGGCCAGTGGTGCGCTTAAACTTAAGGCCTGACCAGTAAGAAGCATTCGAGGACCATGGGTAAGCGGATTTCAGCGGGGACGCAGAAACTATCAAAATCGTGGGAGACCCTGAACGCGGGATCAGAAAAGCCTCATTTGTGATCGACCAAACTTCACCCCGGAACACCGACAAAGATGCCCAGCACGATGAGTCACATGCAACTTCTGCAAGAGAGTGGGACACTTCAAGAGAAAGTGCAGCGGGAAGAAAAAAGTCGCGCGGGGGACAGTCAGTCGGATTTATCCAAAGAGATAAAATGTTTCACGGGAGGACAAATCCTCGGCTGAAGTAAGCTCACAACATGCATTTTTTGTCGGTTTTGTCGAGAGAGAGCATCGCTGGTTATCGGAAAGCTCCGACGATTCAATGGCAGTCTGTAGAAACAGTGAAACACTCCTAAATATTGCCCGGCCAAAGTTAAAAACCAAAGGATCGCCAATATCAAAACTCACAATGGACAATTTAAAGAAGACCCTTGGAAGAGCTGCAATCGACCTGAAGCAGACGAACACCAAGGACGACGAATTTCTTGACTGCAGCAACAACCGGATCAACTCACTGGGAAAAGTGGATGCGGAATTGGCATCCAATGGATGAAGAATCAGAGCAGAATTCAAGGTCATCGAAGGAAGCAGACTATTTGGTCGTAGGACGCGACCACGTGGAAAAATTGGGTCCATATCTTATGCAGAAAAATCTAAAGGGAGC